TACATTTCAGGAGAGAACTATTCAGGAGAAGTTCCACTCCTTTGACGGCTTTGTGAAGAGAATCCAGAAGTTCCAGCTTAAATTCCAAGACCCAAGTTTCCATGTACAAACCAGCAACATTGTGCAGAACTAGCCTGACGAAATGTGGTCTTTCACGCTAGTTCACAACTCATTTACCTACTTAGCTCACTGTACCATGAGACATAACAGTTATGAAGGACATTCCATTCTCTGTCACTCTGTAACTATACCCTGCTCCATTACAGCACTTCCTCTCCTTGTCAAAATGCCCTCCATCCCCATCCCATCACGACCACACCCCCATCTGCCCCCGCACTTCGCTCACCTGCGGGCACGATTTTGAAGGCGCACGGCTGCGCCTGCCTTCCGACCCGGTTAGAGCTGGTGCACAGTAGTGTGCCGTAGTCTCGATCATGATGTGGCTCCACTATCACACTGCTCGTGTGAGGTCCGGCCGGCCAGTGGCCGACGCCGGCAGTCAGAGAACGAACGTGGTCCGAACCGTTCATGGTCCAGCCAAAGTTGCTGGGAGGTGGATCGGAGTCGACCCGGCACAGCACCGAGACCTGCTCGCCGCGCGAGACGCCGTACACGAGCCGCTGAGAGTCGGCACACACCGGCGCGTCTGTGAAGACAGAGACGGCGGGACAGTCAGACGTCTCTGTCAGACACAGACACAGAGACAGTCAGATAGGAACGTAACTATGGGTGGGGCATGATCGGGACTATATGTGACCAGTGGTCAGGAAAGTGTCAAAAGTTAAATGGTACCGACGATATTGGTGGTGATGTGGCCGTTTATAAGAATATGATGGGCCAGCAGAGTAAGACACACTACACACATTTGTTGGTAACGATGGTTTTGAAAGTATTGAGTAATACTAGTGCTCAGTCACTTTTTGTGCAAAACGAAACGTCTATTGAAACACCCATTCCCACCATAGGTGGAGCTTTTCCAGGGAAGTTGGTGGGGCAAAAACTTGCCAAAGCTACAATGTCCGATTGTTAAGTTAGAACAATATAACACTGAATCAATTCTTTTCATTAGGTACAGAGATAATATTTTGCATTACACAGACAATTCAAACCTCCTCAATGCGAAGAAGATTGGTTTGCTAAGCTACAAAGTCGTACTAATCAGCTTGAGTTGGTGGAGCAAAACATTCATTGGTGGGGCAAAATGGCAAGTTGGTGGGGCAACCGCCCCACCAACTGAATAAGAAGCTCCGTCCCTGATTTCCACTTGGAACCAATTAGGCGCATATTTCAGGATTCCACACTACTAGATTTATAAAACTTCTGCAGGGAACTCTTATAGGCAGCCAGGTTCTTGACGTAGTTTGATGAACTTTTAGCAGGATCAGGATCAAGATAGCGGGTATAACAACGTAATAATTTAATTTGCCAAATCTCATTAACAAGTTTTCGATGATGCTTTCGCTTGTATTTGCGTAAACCTGCTATTATTGTTGAAGAAAGTGTCCCGGGAAACGACGGTACCAGACAAAATAATAAAAAGCCAAAAAACAGTGTACACCATTCACTTATTCAAAAATGAGGTGGCTCCATATACATTTTAAAACGAGAACAACAAGCTAATATATTTCAGTCGAGTTGCCGTAATTTGGCCGTTTAAGCTTACCTTGGGGTGTACTAAAGAAAACGTTCCCGGACCTTATCACAATCATTTCGAGAATGATTCATAAATTTAGCAGAAAATGCTTCCGGAAAATAGAAAGGAGCCTGCCTCACTGCAAAGTGGAGTTTGGAGTTGAGCTTGCTCATCTTATTTTATGTTTTAAAAAGACCTTAATGAATATTATACCTGTTGATAAAGACACATAGGTATACGCTGGCGTGAAACTGTATACAATATACTGTTAGAGTTAGATCTTTCATCTTACATTATCAATTATCTATTTTCGACAGTATTCCCGACTTCATACTCATCTCCTCTCTCCCTTCCTCCCCTCTGACCCCCCCCCCCTCCCCCCAGCGATCCACGTCGGCTGTCCGTCGGCACTTCCCCGGGCCCGCCGCCGGCGCTCAACACCCATCGCCCCCGCTCCACAGGCTCATTTCATGGACAATGGAAGCTGTCCGAACGCCTGGCCATTTCGCTCTCCCTCCCCCTCTCTCTCTCTCTCTCCGACGCTCTGTTCTCGCTCTTTCTCCCTGCCCGGGGTCAGACACCCTGGAACAACGAGCTCGCCCTCTGCAGGCACCGCTGCACTGACACACACTCTGTCACCTTGACACGCCCTTGCAACTGCTTGCACAGGTATAGCGGGCAAATACTTAGTACAACAGACCATACCGGCAGTTCGATCTCTTTGTAGGTCTGTGAGAACTGAACAGATAAGGCTTTCAGCTGCACCCATACAACGTATCGCCACGAATAATGCAGGCTGGCCGTAGCAAGATACATTGCCGGGCTTCCTTCCTTTCTCCATTCATTCATTCACTGCCTTCTTAGATACAGCGCAGTTGGTGAAAACATGCGATAATAGTTTAGTTAGAACTGACTCCTCTGCCTCTAAACGGCTCCAGGGTCTACACAAGCACGTGCGACCGTTGCTGAATTATACCGTTCAGTAGCTCTACGAGCATGTAGCTATGATGGGAGCTTAGAGCTCTATCTGGTGTTCTATGCAGCTCTGCCGGGAGCTCAGTGCAGCTCTGTTGGAAGCTTTATGCAGCTCTGCCGGGAGCACAGTGCACCTCTGTTGGAAGCTCAGTGCAGCTCTGCCGGGAGCTCAGTGCAGCTCTGTTGGAAGCTCAGTGCAGCTCAATGTAGCGCAGCTGTGCCGGGAGCACTGTGCACTGTGTAGCTCTGCCGAGAGCTCTTCTTAGTTCTGTCAGACCAGGGTCTCTGCGCAGCCCTGCCGGAAGCTTTGTCCAGCTTAGCTGCCGTCCGCTGCCGGCTTCCAGGATTGTTAATTGCCTACTGTTCACGCCGGCGGCCGGGCGACGGTAATTTACGTTTGTGAATGACCTATACTGCAGCACCGTTCGCCCGGGCCAGACGGCCTGGTCTGCCAGGGTCTGCTGAGATCTGCCGGGGTCTGCTGAGGTCTGCCAGGGTCTGCTGAGATCTGCCGGGGTCTGCTGAGGTCTGCCAGGGTCTGCTGAGATCTGCCGGGGTCTGCTGAGATCTGCCGGGGTCGGCTGAGGTCTACCAGGGTCTGTTAGGTTCCGCCGTGGTCTTCCGCGGTCTCCCAGTTCCGCCCGCGGTCTTCCAGGGTCCCCGAGGTCGCCCGGGCCGCGGCGGTAGCATTTCCGGCCGGCTGATTCCGCCGTCTCCGAGGGCTCCTCTTATCGCTGGTGGCTGAGCACGTGTCGGCTGATGGTGCCGATGGCTTCCCGTCTGCTGGTCGAGGGCGCCCGCACTCGGAGACTGTAATGGGCCCGGCGGGGAGGGTGACCGGCACGGCCCCCCAGCGAGGAGCTGCAGCGCCAGAGGACAGAGCTGGAAGAACTCGCTTTGTCTCCCCGCCGAGCGTCGCTCCTGTGCGCGTAAACGTCCCACGTGCATCGTCCCACCAGCGGAGAGAAGCGCGAGCCGTCCGTCGACAGACGACGCTATGCATTACTGATCGGCAAAGTTAGCATTGCCGTAAAAGTTTACCGTGTGGCTTTTGCGAACAGCCCAGCATGTGACGCGCAGGAAAGTTTTAATGCAGCTCGTCAGTATGGGTTGTGTTCTCGGACTATGTTGCAACTATTGTTGTCGAAGTGCACATCGGAAATGGAAGTCAACATTTAACCCTCGCCCGCACATGCCATTTTCCCATCCTAGAACGCACATGGGGGGGGGGGGGGTTGCCACCTCCCCCCGCGCCATTTCGTTCCTGTTGGAGATAGAGCTTAGCGGTAAAGACCAAAAGATTCTTTGGGAAGAGACAAATCCATTGATACCCAGTTTTACCTTCTCAGGTCAGTCATTGACCTTCCAGGTCAGGTCAAACTAAAAAATGTTGCTGTTTTAGGTCACCGTTGGATATCAAGCGCGCTGCTTGTCATATACCGATGACGATGCCGTTTTCTGGTGCCAAGCCAGCTAGAACCTCTTTGTCACACTACCCGACCAGGTTTTTGCTGCTGAGGTCATCTCAGGTCATGTTAGGTCAAGGTCAATAATATGTGTTTGTATGTCTGTGTGTGTCTGTGTGTATACTGATGTGTGCACCGATTGTTTATGTGTCCATATTACATGAAATCATGATCTGAGAAGCTTTTACCAAAAATGTAGTCAAAAAATTTCAAAAAAAGTCAATTCAGCTTGCCTAAAACGCAATTATCTTAGATGACCTAGGTTGACCTTGACCCTGACCTTGACCTCTGTACATCGTCGAACAACATGTTTCATGATAGGTGGGAGGTAGGATTGGTATAAAAGGCCGAAATCAAGGTGTTAAAAGCTCACAAGGCCCATAGCCAACGCAAGATGTTGAGAATTGGCCATTTGGGTCATGACATGACCTGAAAAACAAGGTCATATCTCCGAAACCAAAAACCACAGAAACTTGAAATTTTCAGTGGACATCAAGAAAGGATAGAGGAGCAGCTATACGAAAAATCAGCCTTCTAGCTCTAAAAATGTTGAGTGCAGAGCAGAAAGACTACCTGGGGGGGGTGGCAACCACCCCCCCCCCCATGTGTGGGCGAGGGTTAATCCGTCGCATTCGTGCTACGTATCTGAACATATGAACAATACTATTCTCCATACATTTTGAAAGGTAATTAATGGCACTTTTATGCAAAACAAAACACCTGTACAAAACGCAAAAACTACCAACAGTACTTCTATTAGGAACAAAGGCCCCTTCCAGATCCCCGACGATGAATGAAGCTTTTCACAGACACAAATCGTACCATATCATGCTTGTATTTGCTGACTTACTTGGGAAACGGATAGAGCCTGTTCAGTTTGCAATATCAACTACCAGGATGATGACTATTGACGATAGTCTGGGAGTGCTCGGCCCTCGAGACTAAAATACATCTGATGACGTTTGTTTATGTCTGAAGGAGGGATTGCACAAAACTACTTATATTTTTTGTGGGATTGAGCCAGGAGCTCATAAGAAGTGATTTTAAACATTGTAAGTAGGTACCTTAGGATATAAGAACTTAAGCTCAGCTTTTATAAAAAAAATTGTATGTGGTGATGCTGATCGTAGATGCCCGAGGGCATGTATAAAACACTCGAGAGTATGTTGAAAAAAAAATTCAGAAAAACACGACGAAGATTGATTAAGCTCTTCGCTGGTAGCGAGGGGAGTATCTTCTTGGTAAAAAGTAAAGACATCGATATATCTTAAATGGCTGATTGGGCTCATGTAAGGGAGCTCAGGCAAAGCATAATTAAACAAGGCAGCTAAACTCATCCAGCACTGCCCAGTTGGGAACTTACTTTTAGCATTGTTTTTCAAACAGGCTGCAGCCGCATTCCAATATCATACATTGTGTTCTCATCAAAGTATCAATGAAGAAACAGACAAACTTAAAGAGCTTTACTCGCTCTCAGTGTATTTATATGATAGAGATACTAACGTTCTCGGATAACACTCGGGTAGTCCTGGGAAAAGCCCTCTCCTCACCGATCGCCAGCCCCGGGAAGGAGCAAAAACGCCGCTCAATCGGTTGAGAACACGAAAATGTCAATGCGCGATTCCCAGTGCACGGTGCCGACGGGGCTCGATGCTCACTAACGCGCATGGGTGTGCGGCGGAACGTGGGGCCCGGACCCAGTCCCGGGACCGGGTAAATGCTTTAAATCAAAGTGGCGATGCACTGCGCTGCCGATAAAGGGATACCGGTAGCTGATGCCCCCTAAATGACCATTTATTGACAACTACGTATGAGGGAACCTCCGTATACGAAAACGATCAACGGTCTCAAACGCCTCGTTCTGGTAATTTGCTTTCCCTTTCGGTATAAGGAGCAATGGTGTGTCAAAATATCAAATATCACATTCTGACATTAGAGTGACACGCCTTTTGCCGAACCCCGATGACCTTTGAGCTTTGAATATCCATTACATTTTCTTTGAACATGAACAGCTCAACCAAAAAGCGTTGCAAAAGTATAGCACGTGTTCATTCAGCTTGACAGATACAGACATAGTGGTAATCCAAGTCATCAAACATTTATCCTCGATGTACCCCGACTGGCGGCTTCACTTCTAGTCTCGGGCACTAAGTGGCCTGCCGATGGATTTACGGGCGCGTTAAGGTCATGACCCGGTCGACCAATAACGCTGAGGACATATCCCATCGCACCAGGCGGTTGACGGCGCTTTGCCGACCCCCGGGGCCCCAATATTGGTAGCCTGCCGCCTACCTGCACGGTACACAAACGAAACGCCGCCGAAACCATCTGTAATACGCCACATTCAGATTCCGAGCCAGTGCGCTTAGATTTTGCGTGATATTCGGGTAGCGCTGAGGTCGTTTTCGCGTCGTTGCAAGCGGAGTCTGAAAATGGGAGCGGCTGCATTCATCAGAGCGTGCCTGTCACGTGGCTGCACTGGGGATTGGGTGGCACCGTTTCCCGGAGACTTTCCGAGGCCGGAGGCCGCTGAACTATGTGCTCTGGTATTCATTGAACTGGCAGTTACAACTCGTGTAATCTCTCATAGTACTCTAGAGTCATTGCGTGCATGCCAATCCATTTATACACGAAGCGATTGAACTTCCTTGAGATTCACAAAGGGAATTCGAACATGTGATTTACGAAAAGTTGTTGTGATGAATGATGATATAACTTCCCTGAAACGAGTCCCAATGACTGATACCTGGATTCTCTTCACGCCTTATGAGGAAACCGGAATGATCTCTCTCTCTCTCTCTCTCCTCTCTCTCTCTCTCTCTCTCTCTCTCTCTCTCTCTTTCTCTCTCTCTCTCTTTCTCTCTCTCTCTCTCTCTCTCTCTCTCTCTCTCTCTCTCTCTCTCTCTCTCTCTCTCTCTCTCTCTCTCTCTCTCTCTCTCTCTCTCTCTCTCTCTCTAACTCTCTCGTCTCCTTTCATCAGATAAAACCTTACATTTTTTTAAGAAAAGAGCACATATCGCCTAGCAGGGCGCTGTAACCACAAATTTTGTTTTCTATCGTAAATCTCCAAGGAATACACATCCATCCATCATCTTTCAACAAATCGCTTCAACCGCTCTCCTGGTTTCGCCGTACAGTATGGCGTATTGTTGGCAGCGGCTCTGCATCCCGGCAGATCGTAATGGATTTTACAGCTCCTACCCTTCCCAATTAGGCTCCGCCAGCTTCCGAATCCAGCAGATACTAATGGTAAAAGGAAATGAACGTATCCGGAGTGTTTCCGCTTTATTCAGCGCGCGGTACGATGTTTCCTACTCTCACGACGGGGTTAGATTGTTGGTGAAATTTGCGTTCAAATGAGAGTTGAGCGGAGCAGCAAAAGATGTAGTCACTGATACATTCACTTTCATCACTAGTAATGAAGTCTACAATTACAGGTAACCCGATGAGAAAATTTGAAATAAAGACGAGCTTATTTTGAGACCAATGTTTCTGTAGAGTGTGGCGTCTACACCTTAACTCAGTCCCGATGTCCCGGGATGCCCCGGCGACACCCCCACGAGTCCCGGCGGCGTCCCAGTGTTGTCCCAGCGGCGTCCCGGCGTCGTCCGGGCGGCGTCCCGGTGGTGTCCCGGTGGCGTCCCGGTATCGTCCCGGTGTCGTCCGTGCGGCGTCCCGGGTTGCCCAGCCGGCGTCCCTTTGCCGTCCCGATGTGTCCCTTTGTCGTCCCGGCGGCATCCCTCTATCGTCTCTTTATCGTTTGGGTTCCGGCGTCGTCCCGGTGGCGTCCCGGCGTCGTCCCGGTGGCGTCCCGGTGGTGTCCCGGTGGCGTCCCGGCGGCGTCCCGGTGGCGTCCCGGTGTTTCCCGGCGTCGGCAGATGGAGAGCCATTGCCGTCAGTGGACGGGCCGGCCAACCCATTACCGGTGGACGGTTCCCCGGGGGTAGAACAGCAAACTGGTCTCACCGGCCTACCGGACACAGCGGGCTCGACAAACGGACGCGGACGGAAACGGACGGGCCCGCGACGGACGGAGCGGACGGAAACGGACACGGGACGGACACAGGACGGACGGACACGGGACAGACACGGAACGGCGTCACACGAGACGACGGGAAGAATTGATATAATTATCAAAATCTCAGAAATAATCATTGACTTGAAGTTCCATGTTTCATAGCAATATTTCTTCCATATAGGCTCAATATTCCTCTGAGTGTGTGTTTCACAATCTCTGAAGCTGACGTCGAAATTGTTTTTATGAGGATCATTGCCTAATATTCTGGGCTGGGAAAACGGCATCTCAATGTAGCTCAACTGAACTTCTCAGGCATTATCTAAGACCAGAAAACATCACTGGTTGCGTCACTGGATGCTTGAAACAAGTTCAGCCTCTTTTTATCATCTTTACCCTATCCCTAAGAAGTGATACGGAATATGCATCGCAGCTTATTACAAAGTGATCAGCAAAATATCGAAGTATGTAGAGCAGTCTCATAGACACTAAATTCCAACAACTCATACACATAGTTACCTCGGCGCATGCACATGGACAGCATGACAAACAAACAAAAACACAAAAACAGCATGCGTACAAGGGAGCACGCGCGCGAACGCAGAACACCGTCACAGTGGCTGAAGATCACCAATGAAGCGCGTGCTCACGCCGACCGCGAGAGAGGCGGCCGGCAGCGTGCTGATGGGCCATATATATGCAGAGGGAGCTATCCGGGCCCTGGGCGGGTCGATAGATTTCTGTCTCTGTGAGGTGGCCGGCCCGCCGCGCCGCTCCGAGCGCGCTAAACTCCGCCGCCGGCGAAGGAGTTTATTTACCAGAGGTAGCCATCCGAAAAGATATCTGACTTTTATTTTGGCCGGCTGAGTGGATTCGGAGTAAAATAATTTCTGAGTGAGTTTATTGTGCTGGTGCTGGGTGTCATCATTTGTTTGTCTGGTGGTCGCAGGGGAGGAGTTTAATCCAAACAACAGTCTAGATTGCTGCAATTGCTCGGTGGTCTCAGCATAAGCAAATTAGAATGCCTACCTCTTCCTCCACACAGCGCCAGACTGCAGTCTCTTCACCTTGTTGGACAAATACCGGAGTTTTTTTTTCTAGATTCTTTCAAAGTTAAAAGATTTCTAAAGATTATATCTAAAGATTAAAAGATTAAAAGATCTATCTCTATGGCAAAAGAGAATACTACACAGTACACCAGGCCCACACCTTTAGGCCGCCCCACGCGCTGGGGCTCCTGGATTTCCAGTTTCCACGCTCTGCTTTGGGATTTCTACATCGCCCTCCTAAATCAATTCTTGGGCTATGTAGCGCCACGCGATAGGCAGCGTTCGAAAAAATGTCAAAAAACACAAAAAATTAATCATTGCTTAGGTCAGATAAAAAGGATGAAGAGAGATCATTGAAAATCAAGTTTCGCCTATGTTATTACGGCAATTTTGCCTAATCGGCTCATGACTCGGGAACGAATAGAGCTACATCGACATGGCTTACATTCTTTGATTTATTTTTACTTTGAAATTCATCAGTCTTGGTCACATGAACAATGTAAAAGTAACGCCAATCACAGGGCAGGATCAATGACGTGGATATTTATACCGCCGATAGTGCAAATGTCGCCAGACTGGCGAGGTCGACGCTGCCTCCCCGGCGGCGCCAGTGTTATCCAATTATCGAGCCGTCTGGGTAAGTTCGTCCAACTCAAATGATTACGCCTGGAATAGGCTGATGACCATGATGCCAATCTGTCGATCTACTTAGTCTAGTTAGGGTATAAATGCAACAGTGTGCCAGATTTGACTGCAGGTTTTACTTAAATTCACAAAAAGGACGCTATGGAAATGTCCTTTGACTATTTGAATATATACGTTAATACATATAGTTGAAATTGAAAACGCCTACATTCATCAACATCCAATAAGCTGTTTCTTATCCAATTAACATTCATTCACGGTGGACGCTTATATTCGTCTGAGCACACCAGCTTTCAAATTCCTCAAAGGCAACCGAGAATCATATCAAAGTCGCCCAAAGTAACCGGACCTTACCGGCGACTTGTGAGTTATGAGCCACAGTCATGCACACACCAGTTATTGGCGCCCTCTGAAGTGCTGAATGATGACGAAATTTGTAATCCTTCATTTCCGGCCCATGAGACACTTTTGTGTAATCACGAGTGTATGTGCCCACCCACGTTTTACTTCCATAATCCCCACAAAGACTCCCGCCCTCACCACTGTTACAAATGGTTTTGCAATTACACATGACTCAAGGCACGATGATTACCTACGCAATACTACCTACCACTTAGCTCTTTATCTCACATGCTTCTATGACTCACATATGACTCGGTACGCACACACGATCATGAAATCAGCATCCCCAAATAGAAAACCTTAAGCTCATATGACCACCCAGTGCACCATTGATCACATAAGTTTCTGTACTCACACATGACTCGGAGTGCGGTGGGCTTGCTGGTGCTCTCGCCCTCCGTGTTGACCGCGTGACACCGGTACGACCCTGCCTGGCGACGTGTGACGTTCTGCAACACCAGGCTGGTGCTGCTGACGATGACACCCCGCTTCTTGTCCATCACCACCTCCTCGCCCTGTCGGCCGCGAAAGTTAGTGTCATATGCCATCAAAGATAATCGACATGGTCATGACGACTTCAGAATGTCGCAAACATAGTCGACATGATCATGACAAGATCATGTTGTCAATAAAACAGCTGACATGAGAAATGACGTGAGCTCCCGATCCGCCAACCTAAACAATTTACGGGAGGTAAATAGTACAGACATTGTCGGAAGCCGTTATCATATTATGGAAGGGCCCGAGTACCGTGACTTTATATCGTTTGTGCGTCCACAGAGCGGATAGCCTCTGCGGAATCGCTTCACGGCCGGCAGTGTAACCAAGCCGTCACCATTTTTCGGTTCGGTTACCCTCCCAGCAGGGTTTGTGTGCTCTGAACGCGGCACCGTCCACCGCAAAACAGTACGGCAGTGGACACCCGTGGCGCGTTCAAACACCATCAGCGGCTAATCAAACAGTCCGCGGCGCCGCGCGGTGGTCGAAGGGGATAATTTCCACGGCACATCGGTCAGTGGCGCGACTGACCGACTGTGATGTTCGGCCAGCTGCCGCAGGAGGTTTGATGACCACTGGTCAGAGGTCAGTGACCAGCAGTGAATTGGTCTGGGCAGTGCTGAGTCAGCTTACTCAGAGCCGGGGCATGGGGTGACTAAGACATTATTGCAGCCATTCTCAGCCCATGCCTTTCAGCCCATAAAGCCAGTCACTCTCCTCCACTAGCTTAATCTGTATTCTACCCAAAATATTTTAATTTTGTTTGGTTTTATTCACTTTTCCTGGTCTACTCGTAATGCACCAATTATGTCAGTTTACAGGAGAGTTCCTACGCCTTCTCCCACATCTATTCCACCTCCCACCCAATGACAGCTGGCATGCATCTTACCCCATCCATCCAACCTTTCACCCTATCCATCTACCTATCTCTCCCCAAATCCACCCTGTGACTTCTCATCTTACCCACCTCGCCTCTCAGCCAGTCCACGCCGCCTCTCACCTTACCCACCCCACCTCTCACCTTACCCACCCCGCCTCTCACTCAATCCAGCCCGTCTCTCACCCAATCCACCCCGCCTCTCACCCAATCCACCCCGCCTCTCACCCAATCCACCCCGCCTCTCACCCAATCCACCCCGCCTCTCACCTCATGTAGCCAGGTGACTCGGCTCGGCGGCGGGTTGGACCGAACCTCACAGTCGAAGAACACATCCATCCCCTCGCGCACATCATCGGCGCTGATCATAGGGCTCAGACGGAGGGCGACCTTCGGCGGGACTGCGCGAGAGAGGTCATGTGGGGTCAGCGACGGGTCAAAGAGGGGTCAGTGGAAGGTCATGTAGGGTCAATGTGGGGTCAACTCGATATTGTGTGACAGAGTCATGAAGGGTTCAATACTCTAATGAGCGGTCGAGGGTCAGGTCAAAAGAAGGGTGACCTTACCAGCGAAGTAATCCATTTTGGAGACATCTATGTATGGATCTGGATGTAAAAACAAATACAGTGATGATTCCGAATATCATCGGAGTGAATGCTTTCTACGCACACAATATCGATGAAATGTAAGAAATGACTGTTTTCTAACATTAGATCCCTCAGGTATAACGTTTCTTGAATCTTATCTGCAACAGGGAAAGCATTGCGCCACTTTCGACGCGGATGGAAATGCATTTGTGAGATGATTCAACCGCGCAGGAGCGCTGCAGTTGCGTTGCGTGTGTACTCTCGGCTTTTTCAACGTTCGCAGAAAAGGTAACACACACAGTTTCTCTGTAACCTCGACGCACTTGGTCTAATTGTCTGCGAGTGTCTGCAGTAAACTGAAATCCCCAGAGCTGAAACTCACACGCGCCTGTTTCGAAAAACAAGAAAACACTTATGGAGCTTCTCGCGGCAGGCGAGCGCACTACACCTAATGCAATGAAACTTGAATATGCATTACGGATGCACATTCAACAATAGTTTGATGGCTTTGTGCTACATTACTTTGCATATCTCTATGTTCCATTTGTTTTTGCTACCTGAGGACATTGGAATATTTTATACGATATGTCTCTTTGTCAGTTCCGTGACTCAGCTTGTCCAGACAGCACAGCCGTTTTTTTCATCAATTAATTTTTATTCTTTTACGTGTCATCACTCACTAAACCTGTTTTCGATGGAGCAGTCACTCAAGAGAGAGCTAACTTCGGGCTCATGTCAATGCTCTGATAAAATACATTAGACATTTTGCTTGCAATCTTTGAAAAACCCATACTTTATTTTTTTTTGTGAACAACGTACTTAATAGTTTCTCTTCTGCCATAACTTGAGCCAAGTGCCACGGGACACTTTTTCATTCAGGTGTGACCACTTGTTATTCACTTTAACCCGGACAAAAACACGCTAGTAAAAACATGAGATGGCCTGCTGAGTAGTGTTGTTGCGGAGTCCACCTCCCTCCTCTCTCCTCTCCGGCCTCCGACACCGCCGTGCGCGCGTGCGGCGGTCTCAGCTGGGCCGGACAGCCGCAGTGGCGGAGCCGCCGCCCGCCGTTCTCCGAAGACGCCACCATGCATGATACTCATTACATTTGCAAAGGCGGACGCGGCGCATTAACCGAGTCGGCTTTGCGCCAGTTCAGTATTGATCCTGGGTTCCGTGGCGGTGCCCCCCCCCCCCCCCCCGGTACCCCGGCGCATGGGGCGGGGGCGGGCCGCCGGGCGAGACACACGAACTCGCTGACACCTACATATCAGGGGAAGGTTACGTGTGCCGTGATGCGTTTATGCCACCATTTGCAAGGCGTGGTGCACACTGAACGAGGAGTATTCATTCGAGTGGCGATGCTTAGTGAATGCTCAGAAACGCCTACCAATTCACGAGATGGTTATGTTGCCAATCAACCATGCACACGGAAGGTAAACAATGTGCAAACACTTCGCTGGATACAAAACAAGACGTTGCCTAGTGCCTACAGTTGCTTGCCTTTCCTCGGCTTTCTATCGCCACGTCCCCGCATCCTTGACAACGATCGACAAGGTCAACTGTGCTTGATGACGCTCTGAAGTCTGCACCATCCCAGGGCCACCTCATCATCTAGCACATCAACGGGATCCCTGCATGACGCTGTTACCATGAACGAACATTCCTCCAACTAGTCCAGAAAGTTGTGTCACCGGTTCCAAAGTCCCCACCGACTGGCAAAATGATCACCTTCGACCAACGGGAGGTCGTTTATTGAGGGAACTTTTCTCCTATCTTCTGGCACACCTATGGTGATACTTTTGCAGTTTCCACAACTTTGTGCTTCCTTGTCACCCAGACATTCCTGAGAAACAACTCTTTCGATCATGGCATTCTGTCGGAAGCTGGACTGGAACACCCATACCTGCAGTGCATATTCTTCTCTGCTCATTGCAGTTCAGCTGTTCCAATATGCGAACATCACCACTGCTCAAGTGGCCACCTCGTCTTTGCCGCCCCTAGTTAAGTCATCCCTCCCTGCAAGCACAGTTGAGTCGCCACCCCACTCCACGTCGCCCAAGCGCCAGTGCCCTCCTTCTCAATCACCCCAGTCCGAGCCACTTACATCTGATGTTGAGTCGGCGACTATCCTCGATGAATTTGGACCGGTCCATTTTCGGGTTGTGGGCACGGCAGGAGAGCGTCTTGCCCTGGTCGCCCAGATCCGGGCGGAGGTGGATGGTGCTGATGCTGGTCCCTCGGTCCGCCGACTCCTGTGGATAGTCACCAGGTCACCACTCACCAGGTCATGAGGTCACCAGGTCATCAGGTCATCGAGTCATCGAGATACTAAGTGACTAGGCTGTCTGGTCACCTTGCCATCTCGCCACGAGACACTGGCCACTGGCCACTAGATTTAGTATAGGTCATCTGGTCGCCAAATCAGCGACAAGGTCTCCAGACGAATTACATGTCAGTGGAAGACCACTTACCAGGCAAACAAGTCAGTGAATCATGCTGCTGCTGCTAGGATACAAGATCACATAGTGACCAAGGTTTTAGATTGCTAAGACATCAAAGTGGCATGCTATGAGGCCATCGGAAGTTAGCATGTTGCAAGTCTACAGGGGGAGGCTGCCCACGTTTGCTCCCGAATTTTAAAAGTTTTGACATTTCGTAACATTTCCAGAGGAAAACTTGTAAATTTGTGTTACATCTTGTGTGGGCGGGATAACAAATTTATCATACTGGCGATCACAGACATGAATTATTGATCAGCATGTAACAGTCAATAAATAATGAAGCCCGGAATATGTAGTCAAATCGTAGAAAATGGCTCCACTGGCATGGTAATTCGTTTCTTTTTGATGATTTGGGAACAATCGCATCCGCTGTCTCGTCCCTATAATTCAATCAGCGGCTTGCAAAAGGGTGACAACATTTGACATGCTACGCCTCAGCAACATTTCAAGCCTCACAGATCAAAGCGGTTTGCTACCGGGAGCTTCCCGCGAATCGCCAGATCAGACGTCTGTCAGAGGGTCACTGGGGTCGGCGACACCTGCTTCGGGCGCCTCCGCTCCCAGCAAAGGTCAGTGGGGCGCCGAGCAGTTCCTCCCGGGGGCGCCGCGGGGCGCCGCGGGGCGCCGGGGCGCGTCTGACGGCGCCCGCGGGAGGACGCTGCTGAGGCCGGGCCGCAGAACGGTCGGCTAACAGGCCCCGCGGCGCTACTGGCCGCTGCCGCCGACTGGATGGGCATCTCGTGACCCGCGGAGGGCCACGGGAGCGGGCTGAGTATTGCTGTGAGGGTCGTTTGTCATCGACATTGACGATGAGTGCATGCTGGAGCATAATTTCGATGCAGACTTGCTGCCGGTGACGCTTAGTTGATGTGGCCAGCTCAAGACTTACGTTATATATCAGCGCATGATATGCACAGTGCACAGTTCAATGCTCATACGCATCTTCAGACTCTTCATTTCTTAACCCGCGCCCCAGTGGCGGTCTCGGCCAACTTCGCCCTAGTGAGGGGGGGGGGGCATATGTTACCACCCACCTCTAACTCAAAAACTAAGAGGGCTAGAAAGACGCGGTAAAAAGCAGTCGATAGCTCTCAATACGTATGTTTGAAAGTATTTCGGTCATTTTTCACCTTAGGGCAATATTGGGGTCACCAGAGGTCATCAAAGGTCAAAATTTGCCAATTGTCATTATATTTTTCAGAAAACATGCCGCTATCTCAGGAACTATGGTAGCTAGAAAAACGCATGGAAAAGCAATCGATAGCTTTTGAACTCTTCTTTTGAAAAGGTCATTATCAATATTGTCCTCAGGTCAACGGTTTAGCCTCCAGAGGGCAAAAACTCCAAAAATAGCTGTTTTTACGAAAAGTGTTTTTCGACAATAACTTTCGACTACAAAAAGCCACGACATTTCTATTGCCAGAATCGTGTTCCCCTCACCGAGACGCGTCGAATGAACTATAATTTGACCTTGAAAGGTCAACTTAAAAATTTGACCTCAGGTCAAGGTCATGACCTGACCGGAAAAGGTCATGTTGCATATCAGTCGATGCGTCTCAACAAGACAAACACAATGAGACCATCCCCAGCGTTCTATCTCTTTCCAATCGCGAGTGATTGGCAACAAACTGTTTGTAGCCTCAAATGACCTCGGCTGACCTTTCTAGAGGCTATCAGCAAAAATGACACCTTGGTCATCACGAGTGGACTAAATCATTGTGATTCTGAAATATTTGGACTGTTCCTATGCGTACACACGGATCTAGAGGCATTTTCATTTTTCTCCATTGACTTGTAATGGAAAGGTCATGCCACTGACCTGACCTTAGGTCACGGATATAAAAAATCCGAGATATACAAATTGTAGGCTTCCATAACAGCATGCAATTCCACCAAGTTTAAAACCTTTCTGACAAACACTGCAGGCTGAACATGATTGCAAACTTTTTTAAGGCTTGGTCAGTTAACTTGACCTGGTGACCTGACCTGACATGACCTGGGGTCAAAAATTTCACACATTGTCCAAAATTGATGTACCAAAAGCTACCCCAAGCGGCGCGGCGCTACGCGCCGCGGTTTTTTATTCACACGCGAAAAACGCGACAGGGTGGTAACATATGCCCCCCCCACACTGGGGCGAAGGTTAATAAGATTCAATATTTTTACTGCAGCAGCATTCCAGAGGACGAAGAAAGCACAGGAACGTACACAAATAAGTATAAAATAGACAAACAATAAATACTACTTAAATAATTTCGTTTTAGCCATAAATAAAGGTGAATAATCGGCAATCATTCAGATATCCGTACAGGGATTGTAACAGAGCAGCCAGTTTGCGGTCGGTGTAACACCCCAACACCGCCAACCCGCCGGAAACGGGTAACGTTTCCTCGACTGCCGGCGCCGACCGGCACCCGGTCGCGGCCCGCTTCCTGTGATTCATAATTCAGGCCGGCGCCCTGATGAGTTCCCGCTTAGCACGCCAGTCGTCTGTAGAACACGACGGACATGGCGGGCGTGTCCGGTACCGCCCGAACATACGAGGAGTGAGTGTAAGCCTCCTCCTGACCTGGGCTCAACCGTGTGGGGGTGGAACCGGATGTAGATGAGACATGGGGATCAGAATTTAGAACCGATTCACTGAATGAAAACGTAGAAAAACTTCAGGTGATATGCAACTCACTGATAGACGATATTCTACCTCTTGGTAGAACACCTCTTGGTAAGTAGCTGACGATAGTCCGTCATCTGCTTTTCACATGCTGACAAGTTGAAGTTGACAATCAGCATCCCCCGGTGCCGAACCCAGTACTCACATGTTGCTTGCCGTTGGGCAGTGCCGCGTTGTTGAGATACCATGTGAGCGTGGCTGCCGGTCGGGAGCCCGACGAACGGCATACGTACTCGTACTGTTTGCCGGCGGACAGAGGACCGTCCTCTCCCTGCAGTCGCACCCTCAGAGGCCGGACTGGAATGACGGACAGACGGGTCGGGTCACTGAAGGGATGCTGTAGGGGAGGGTATCAGGGGAGAAAGCAGATACCGGGGAGGTTACCCAAGGGGCGGCAGATACGAGGAGGTTTCTGGGGGATACTACAACGGAAGAGGTTACCCAGGGGACAGCAGACGACGAAGTTATCCAAGGAAATGGTGAACAGCGGGGAGTTTCCTGGGCGATCAAGGAGACAGAATGGCAAACAAGGGGAGGATTTATTTAAGAAAGTGCTGAAGCTGGCTGAGAATTGAGATACAGATGGAACCCATACATTTTCATTAGTGGAATTAAACAAATTAATTAAGGAAAATCAATACAAGAGGCAACATTTGTGTTAACCGATAGCAAGGTGTAAGAGATTCATAGAAAAAAATCAGCGAATAGGTAGTCTGAAGCTAAGAGAGTTTTGAGCCCCGCGGTTCAAAGAACCCAATAAACAAATGCTAAACTACATGGTTCAGTTGAAAGACACTGCCCTTTGGTAGGACTGTCTCATACAAAAAAAAAGTAATTTCACTTGTGCATCAATAATGCATCTATGTATGTGATTCCACTAGTGTGTCATGTTGACGATGCGCTACGCTCAGAAAATCAGCATCGCCATTTTTATTGCTGTTGTCAATTTTCTCCGGAACACACTCCAACACTACTTAGCCGAGGTTTGAAAAGAACACCATCTCGATTGGCAAAAACGAGCAATGGAAAACTCGCAGAAGATCGAATTTCCTGGCGGTCTGAGGCAGCTGCTGATGGAGAAATGTTTGCAGCTAGGGTGGAGCGTTATTTGGCCCAACCGTAGCCTAAAGTTGGCTCTCGGTCGGCGATCGATCTAAACAATCACGAACGATGCAAGTCTTTCCTTCTGACTGGCGTCGCACAAAGAAAGTGGCAGGTTAGGTGGAAAGCCTTTTTCAACACTCACTCCGGTATTAAATGGAAAAGCAATCTGTTGCAAACGAGAACGGTGAATAGATGAAGAAATGATACCGGTATTGGGCTTGAAATATTTACTTCAGTCCGTTCTCTATATTTTGAGAGCGCGTTGGGTCTAAAGGTCCAATTTCAAGTGATAGTCTCCACTTTGATCAAAGCCAGCAATAAATCCCGGCTGAATATGCATGGAAACGCATCACACACAGGGCTCGACGATGAATGGGCCAATCGACAGTAGCAGAAATTGAGCGCCGACCTGCGCAAAGTTCAACACTCGGCACCGGCCTCGGCGACCGGCGTGCGTTTTCAGCAGAGATGGCCGATACGTGGAGGCTGCAGGCTGCGTCTGGCTGCCTTTGTTTGGTGCAAGAGTGAGGTTAATTCAGGTAATAGGTGCTGATGTTTGTAGGGCTGCTCATAGAAAATGGTAATCGATAAGACAACGCAATGGCTGAGTTAAATAATCACACCTTTGGTTCGTGAGTTCAGCTATCGATATACAACAAACATTCTACAAAAAGTTTTCGGGCAAAGTAACACCGGTGTCATCACCAATGCGTCCGTTACGGACGCTTGAATTCACTAAGGCTGGTATGGAGGACTCCCAAGCGTTTAAATTAATGAAAATTTGAAAACAAAGACAGCCTTCATACTTTCAAGTTTCAACCAGGAACACGAATTATTTAAAAATCTAATGATGGCGTTAATTATTGATAAGTCTTTTTCGTTTCATCACGTATCGCAGACCAGTGGCCATCCTGAGCGTGCCCATTTATGGTTTTACTAGGTTTTCATGGCAATAACGACGCCGTTAGACTGGTACGTAGCGTGACACCGCATGGCCTGGACTGTCGCCAACTGGGCGCCTCCTTTTCAGCGCCGCAGTTTCGCCGAAGGATATTATGGACCGTAATGGGAGACACATTGTCTCGAGCTCAAAGACGAGATTTAATTGGCGTCGTTTGACATAGTTTGTTCCTCTTTCAAACGCCGGTCAGACTGGATATATGGCTGTTTATTGCCTACAATGGCCGGAAATCGGAGAAAACCAGTGGCAGATTAAACACAGATGTCGGGCTAATGGCGACGGGCAGAGAGAAAATCCGAACTATTGAGGGAGAGAAAGTGGGTTTCTATTGACGTTCTAAAAAAGGTTTTCGCAGGACAGAAGGCGATAATTTTAGATTTAGTACGAACAGGAAACATACAATACATCAAAATTGATCAACATTTTATTCAAGAGGCATATCCCGGTGGAAGCTTAGGGCGCAGTAGATCATAAATGCATTTTTCAAAACAAATGAATAAACGAATATATGTAAAAACTAAAGATGGGTGTATTACCTCAATGCTGGAATCACATTTGGTTCCTGGCAAATAACATCATAGACTGATAGCTCGAATCAATAACGCGTCCATCATCCTAATACCCTGACCTTAAGTCTCATGAATGACGGAATGAATGGCAGTGATGCCTGTGGACGGGTGTCCTTGGGAGTGTGATATTCGCCAGCCATTCGCCGATGTTCCGCGAACCCGTGTCCAACTGGTGTTTGCCCATGTCGCTATTATAGTCGGCGACACGGTCGTCCTTGCGACAGCCCATTGCATCGCACGCCCACACCGTCCAGTGCGCGTCACCTTTTGGCGGCTGCACGCTATTGCTATCATATTTCTTCCTAGGGAAGTCTTCATTTGATGCTCGGAGAACCACCCTTCCTGCCTTATTCACTCTTCCTGTGCCACGTAATAAAGTCCTGCCTTAATCATAATTAATAATTCCTGTGCGTAATTCCTGCCTTATCAAAAAGAAGGAAACGGCATTCGGTGCCACGTAATAAAGTCTGTCTTGATTTTGAGCAGAGAAGTAACATGGGTTTTGACGGTGAGACAAGGCCACTACTGAGTACTGTGACTATTATTTTTCTTGTGGAATGTTCGCGTATGCTTTGCTTTTTTATTCTGTTCGCTGTTGTAATCAATGATTTGAAAGACTTTAACCCTATTAGTGGCAGGGGGGTTGTTTTTATCCACCCCTCAGGTTTTTTCGGGAATATCTCCGAAACCACTGAAGCTACGATGCTGAAATTTTCTGACTTTTCCTAAAACTAAATTGGGCACATTCCCTGAAAATTTCAAGTTCATAACTTTACCAGGGGCGGCTCCAGAGCACTGGGAATTGGGGGGTCCTATTCGTGAAACGAGTCATTTGGGCGAAGATCACGATGCTGCACCAGTTTTACGCAGTGGCGGATCCAGGATTTTCACTGGGGAGGGGCTGCAGGTCATAATTGGGCGCCACGCCCCGGATGGGCGCCATAGTCGCATCGTATTGGCGCTGAAATATTGGCGCCCAGTGGCCCTGACAAGAGGCGCCCAGGATCAGTATGTACAGTGACACCACACGATTGGAAATATCGGTGCGGAGCGTACTGAAACGACGTTATTCGACTGATTTTTGCATCCTAGTCCTAGTATGCGGCACTCCGATGAGTTGCAAATTGAAAATTGGCGCCACTGCGCCTTCGGCGCAGTGGCGCCAGTTTTCCTTGGGTGGGGGCTGCCAGCCCCCGCAGCCCCCCCCCCCTGGATCCGCCACTGGTTTAACGAACAGTGAATGAAAGGTATCATGTGATAGCATATACAGTTATTGTGCATCCTCTTTTGACACGTTTTTGCTATAATAGGCGGATCCAGGCGTCCAAAAAGGGGGTTATGTTTTACCTCCCAACATAGGTGCCCTGACACCGCCTATGCATGACCAATACAATTGTAGTCGTTCTCTCATAAGAAAATTGTAACATAACAAGACCATTACCACCCTTTTTAGAAACAGTACCAACAAAAACCTTATTTACTATACTTTTTGTGTACCCCCAATCTCAATGATCTGTATCCGCCTATGATTTTTGAAAATGCATATTTTTAGGATCCATGTGAATTCCTGGTTCATTCTCTATCGATCGGCAAAAGTTGCGTTAGGATTCGTTCAGAAACCTGGCCGTGATAAACAGTCTAAAATGTATCTGCAATTTGCCCGTTTTTACCCCCCTCTACCCCCCCCCCCCCCCTATTGACATTTTTTAATTTTTATTTTTTAGAAATGTAGATCACGTTGAGCGAAATCGAATGCCGTTTGAATTTTGAAAATCGGCCCGTTAGATCTCGAGATATCAAAGGGGGTCGTAAACAGCCCCCCCCCCTGCCACTAATAGGGGTAGCCAGGAGCCTGCCACTAATAGGGTTAAGCCACATTTTAGAATAAACAGTACCTTTAGTACAAAAAGTGAAAATATGTTAACATATTTGACAAATAAAATATATTCAGATGGCATTGGGTTTTAAAATAACTGACAGTCTCATTACCTGACAAAAATCGCGTCTAAACAATCGCTGAATAAAACATGTTACGGATTGAGTATGCTCGTAGATAAAATTTACGACCTGGAACCTTTGTAAACCCCAAGACAGGCAGCGCAACACTTTCCTTGGCTTTGCGTGGAACATTCTAAACGCTAATCCAAAACCCCAGTTAGAAGACCAGGCAATTACCAGGGACCAGGTGGCGCTTACTTACTACATGGGTACTGCACTACGAGCGACAGCGCCGCGAGCCTCCCACGGTATCTATTTCAGTCCCCGCTCTAAAAGTCGACCAACGGCCCAGCTGGAAGGGTTTATACGACCCGGTCCGCGTGCAATCATCATCGACTACACCCCTGCATAGTGGCTTAGCGACCCTTGCCCCATCAAAGGCCAGGAAACGAGCTTACGACGCCTCTCCAATGACGCTGTTGAAAGATGTTCGATTTCCACAGGTCGGAGAGCAACGGGTGAAGTTCGGCACCGATGGGGTAACTCCCCGTATCCGGCGGCGGCCCGAGGCCCGCTCTGCTCACATCGTCTCTGAGGGGACAGCGCGGTGGGCGGTAATATCTCGGGACCAGCCGGTCGGAGACAGGCCAGCTGCCCAGACGTGAGCGACATTTGGATTTCGTTTCAGCATTCGTCGATCACCAGAATGGGCTGCTGTTATTAGA